ACTGTTTATTTAACTGGACTACTGACATTATCGAAGCTAAAGTATATTTTATGGTAGGATCACAGTCGCAGAAGTATTCGTCCATTTACCATACTCGATTCGCATGTAGGTGGATCAACGAATACAGAACATCCATACAGCATATAGATATGTACATAAGGTTACAATTAAAACGACAGAATTTAGAAGAAGGTAATATTGTCAACTGTTTCATATTCATGATTATCATACAGCAACAAAAAATTAAATAAGATAACATAATGTGTTAAAAAAGTTAAGTAGGTGAACAAATACTTATTGTAGCTGATTGTATGTAAAAATATTTTGTTATAGATCGCTATTCTTTGTACATTCCTTGTAAATTAGAAATAAATTTGGATATTAAGGAATTAAATAATGATACTGTAGGCACTGTACGCGTCGAGAAATCGTTCATATTTCGAAATACGAGTCTACTAGGGAGAAAGGTGTATAATATGTTAAGTTGAAATATAAGATGTCATAGTTAGAGAGAAATTTGTATACCAAGGAAGGAGACACAACGTTTCGATGATGCTTTTGGAACAAGTGGAAAGGGAGAGATTCTCTTACGTTAACGTTAGCTGTAACTGCTAATTTAATTAAGCAACGTCTTTAGTTGCGCAGTGTGCGACCTTATTCAGCGCAGAAGTCGCATTACCGTCCTTGCAAATTAATAACAGGCATTATCTGACGGCTGAGTTTCGCGGCATTAAGATACCGTCTTGCGGAAGAATTATCTTTTCGTGTACTTTCAGACGTCGGTGAAAGCCAGACGTTACATTACGAATTAAATTACGCGTTGAAAGCGCGGAAGATGTAGTTTCGAATCGCCATTGTTACGCAATGAACGGTATTGTGCGTAACGTTACATTCCAACTAGAATCGTTATCGTACTGTACTCCACGTGGAACATTTAAATCCATAGAAACGCGCTTTATCAGTTGTTGTTGTAATCGCATTATCTCATTCCGCTAAGTAAAAATTCTCGCAGAAATGAAAAAGGATATATTTTTATTAGAGTCAACAAATAAACAAGTACAAGAATCGGACGATGAAAAGTATATTTTTCTCAGAATCAAGGATAAATGCGTTTTTTTAGACTGAAAAGCAAACGAGAACAAGGACAAAAAGATATAAAAAATTGATAGTTCTGTTCAAACACAGTGTGAATCATTAAATTGCGTAAAAATGTGTACACTTGTCCTTCCTGTTTCAAGTATCCAAGTTTAATGTTTTATAATAAACTACTCGATGGAACTAATAAATCCATGCATGAAAATTGTTTCATTTCCAATTGTTTTATGCCATTCATAAATTTAATTTTGCCAGGTCGATTACCCGAAAAATCGCTTAGCTTTGTCCTCCATTAGTGTAAATAATCTCCAGTATCTTTTTCGAGTTTTTTCACAAAGAAAGAACGAGAAAGGTATCAGGAAAGACAGTATCAGTTAATAGCTGTCAATCAGGAAAGGCAAACCGAAGTTGAAATAGGGAGGTGTCTGAAAGTTCCGTAGAGTGACTCCCGACTTCTAATGAAATTCTTCGAATGCACCGGATTTCCTCGTTGGTTGTGGACAAAAGGGGACCGACCACGATCGAACTCATTATAAAATCGAACCGTCCGAGAAGGATGCGACGGGCGTTCGGCTAAAATCATTCTTGACACGTAATCCCGTTACCAGGCGGGTAAAGGAGACAGGGGTCGGACAAAGCGTCCAATTAAAATTATGCAACGTCCATTGTGCTCGTTATCGCACGCCTATCACCGACAGAACCGACCGGGGAACTTTGGAAAACTCGCTAGGTCCGATGAAAGCGGTAGAAGAAGTTTTCGCCGCCTCTACCCCATTCGTACCACCCTCCCCGAAAACCGCCGTGACAAATTCGTTTTCCTCGCTACCGCGTTTCCGTATTTACTCCTGCTACGTCGCTTTGTCCTCGCGTAATTACGTTCCGCGGCGGCTTAACAGCCGACAATTACTCGCCCGGTCGTCGTTAATTTCCCTTGAAATAAAAGACGACAATGACGACGACGACGCCACCGGTGAGACGCAATATCAGAGGGAGGAACGCGATACCAATCTTACGATTTCCACTGGCACAAAGACGATCCCCAACGTTCCCGGCAGAGATTCCTCTAACGGGACTTTCTGGCAACTAGGACCGACTGACTCGCTTTTGCAACGACGATGGCAACGTTATCGCGGACTCCAGACCTAACTGGCAGCTCGAATTGCCTGGGTTTCGGAGGAAACGTGTAGGTCGTTCCCGCTAGACGTGATTTAGGTGTCGAATAGGTTTGATTAGGTGTCGCTTCGATGACATTGCAGGGTCCATGACTACGAGACTGAAATTCGCGAAGAAATTCGTCGGTATTTTTAGTTCTTATCTCGAGGCCGTACACGAAGTGGGGAGATTATCGATTTTCTCCAGTCTATAAATATATGATTTTTTTCAAATATTTAGCAAAATCCACGTCATTATGTTGTATCTTTTTAATTGAAGAAAGATCTCGTTACCAAGATGGTTACAATACGTAATTGATTATTACGAAGGTAATATATGAATGCATAAGTGAATGCAATAAATGATTTATCTTATTGGTCGTATTAGCGCTATTTCTAGAATTTTCTCTCGTAATAACAATATCGATATGTACAAGAGTATGAATAGAATACGAATAACATCGATTATAACCTATTACGATCGGAACATCTATCCAGGTCGTAGGGGGTCAAGATAATAGAATAAAAATAAATATATTTACAAACAATTAATTTGCTTGCGTCAGTGCTTGACGCCGTTACTTACCAATAGAATACACATTATGTCTGTAACGAATTTCCATAACTTGGTATCCGAAGCAAAAATCACCTTAATCTAAACCAAAAATTCTTGCCACTCTGGTTATCGCGAAACACCACGAATCTCGAGTAACAGCGAGGTTTTTCACCGGCCGACTGAATGAGATCGTTCGAAAGATTTCAGCATCATTTTGTAACGTGTTACATAAAATTCTTGCGTAACGCGTTCGAACACGTTGCCGGATTCCTTAGACTCCGACAGCTTCCGCGACTCGGCCACGATTCAGTAGGTAGCCGTTCAGCACGATGAAGAGAAGCGTGGCCGGTGTTTTCGAATGTGAACGCAAAAAATGCATCTCTGGCGCACATAACACGTTGGAGCTGCGTGCTACTCGCGCGAACGAACCGTCGTGTCGTAGTCGCCGTAGATCCAGTAGTAACCTACCTTTATGACCGACGATCTCGCGAGTGCGTTTTCCCTTCTCCTCTCACGTAACACGAGCGTGCAGGCTATCGCGCGATCGCAGTGCAACCGAGAAATCGCCTCGTACCACCTTCACCATCCAAGTTTCAATAACAGCGCGCGTACGTTCGACTTGCCGGCTTCGTTTCGCGCCGCGACTCGTTATAGGGTCGTTACCCCTGGATATACGGAAACGATGATATCTCTTTCGTTTCTGCTCGTACCCGGGACCAAAGTTTGTGTGCTTCGTGGATATTCCTATTGAAATGGAAACGAAAGAAGGTAAGTTCAATTTTTCATCATATTTGTTGGATTCGGTGGGTTTCTGTTGTTTTGCTGCATTCCGCAGAGAAATGAATTAACACTGTTAGCAACATTTCGCAAGTTACAAATTACAAATTATAAACGACAACGATACATCTAATAAATTAGAATCAATCACACAGTAGAAGTTGAAGCTTGTCGATGAATAAATTCTTATATCAATTCTATATGATATTGTAAAGATCATCGAACAAATAATATACGATAACTTACCACTTGAAGATCCAAACGGGGTTACGGGAAAAAGAAAGCAAAAAGGAAAGCGAATAATCTAAATGTATTATTGGAATTACACGCATGATATTAAATTGATATTATTAACCCACATCGTTCACTTCAAGCGTTTTTCTCACTTCTTCATTTACATGTTTTAATATCACGTATTACATATCTTTATTCCATCTAACATGGCTTTGCTGTTGCAAAACAAACTTGTTTGTCGAGATACATTAAGCGTGGATAACAAACGATCCTGGTAATAAAGCTTTTCTTATTATAGAAAAATTCCGTTTTATTCAGGAAGGTGGTCGCGCTTCCGCGTTGTTTTCTACGAAATCTCGAACGACCGCGAGACCAATAGGACTCCGATCAACTTTGATCTTTCATCATATCGCTCTGTCGATTCGGTAGTTAACTTGTGCGCATAAATCACGATTCGCGGCGACGATAGCGAGCTACGCTACTGCTGTTGTCCATTTTCGCACGTTTTTGTGGTGTATTTTTCCTTTCTTTCTCTCTCCTCACTGACACCGTGGAAAGTATGCCAAGCACGTAATTCACGCCTACAGGTGTGCGTGCGTGTTTACGGAGGTTTGGCGTTCGCGCGAACGTATGCGGAACACGACTCGTGCGATCGAGTCCGCAACGAAAATGTGCTCTCACTGCATTGAAAATTAAAACAACCTAGCAGACGTATCTGCTGTTTCTCAAGTATCGCCTGTACGGTGAATGACAACGAGGTTTGCCGGCAAAAAGCGTCATCGTGCGAACCGTTGAACGCATTTAATCGGATGCGTTTTGCTGGTGATGAGGTGAATATGTACTTGTACTGCGTCTTATTGCAATACGAATGAAGTTTGCGTAACCTTTGGTTGATTGTTCAGAGGTTGTCTCGCCGCAGTTGCTCACAGATTCTTGTGTAATTACGTTGCGTTAGTTTAAGCTGGGATCTTTGCTCGCAGAGCATAGGAGGAACAATCTGTCCTAGAGTGATATAAGTAGGTGTGCTGGATTCTAGGTGAGAATTTGTTCTCAAGAGTGTATCCTCATTTTAGAGAATGGAAGAGAGAATATGGAAAGATAGATAAAGAGGAGAGGAAAAAAACCTGACCTTAACCTGATCACTTAATGTAATTAGTCGCTGTTTACGATACACACTTTATTTTGTTGTCATTCGCTTATTGCAGTCATTAATATTTATGGATTCAAATCGTGATTTTTTTTATATCAGAAATATTGAAGTCACAGGAAAACATGCAAGTGCTCTTGACAAAAATAATCTCAGTCGTTATTGAGATAAAGGATACAAGTTATAGGTCGTAAAATTATCACAACGATCTTGATGTTTTCTTACATTATTAGATGATACGTGCAAAATTCTGCGTTACATCACGAGCGTTTTTCTTCCGATGTGTCAAATCGTACGAGTGCGTGTAAAATTAGCTGCAGATTATTTTGCAGCGACATCCATAAATTGATACGTGTCTAATCGTATTCGATCATGTTGACGTATCGCCGTAGTTACATAATTCGAGGTTTCCTAACTGCTGTCACAGCGAAAGCAGTGTAACTCGTAACACCGCGTAACAGGCCAATCATTGACGAGGCGCAATGTAAATAAATAAAAATATGCTTCACTCGACAAAACTACGTTCGCTTTCTCTTAATTCATATGAAGGTTTTCCTCTTTTTAACGAGACGTTTAAAATTTAAAATAAAATCGAGGTTTAGGACAGAAACGAGTTGTTCTTGCAATGACACGTAATTTGCAAATCATTTAAGAGAAACAGGTATCTTGTACTTTGCCTCGTGACTTCGAGTAAATGGCAAAAACTTACCATGCGCAGGGAAAGTTTTCCGAACATTCGATCCTTATTACCTGATCACCTTTGGAAGTCGAATTGTTAATCATTCAAATCTTTCTTCTTAATCTCTAACGAATGACAGACTGTAAATCAGTCCGCTGATATTTTTCTAGAAAATAGGTTTTCGCTAGGTGAATTTTTTAAAATATAGATACTGCAAAAGAAGAAGAACAAGAAGAAGAAGAACATATTTTACCTGAAATCGTATCCACCTACTATATTTCTTTTAGCTTATGTATCCACCTACTCAAATTCCTGTTACAACTCTCTAAACTCTGACCAATTTCATGACCTCACCATACCTCCTCTGCCGGCACCACTCCCATATTTGACGCAAGCTATTCGAAAGATAGCTAAACACAAATCGGTCTCCTTTAGTCACATTCATTCTACAGTTAGGCGGCGACCACTACGAAAGGCGATGTGGTTGTGACCTTGATCACCGGCAACGTCCTCGACATTCCCGTAGGATAGACACGGAGGTGGGCAACGATGGACGCAGGATTGGCCGTGGTAGAGTGCGCGATTGGTCCGATGGTCTGTCGACAGACAACCGCCACTCCGTTATCATCGTCACTGGACGCTCGTGTGTCTTCGAACCTGTAACTATCTACAGCCAACGCAAACCATTCTTCTGGGTGTTAAAAAACTATAAGAGTGTTGATCGTGACTTGGTTCATGAACGAAGAATATTATCGGGATCTTTGTCGATTGTTCGCGTGTCTTTGGACCTGCAGCTACTCGCACCTGACGCCAGTTATTCTTCTGGACGCTATAAAATCATAAAGGTATCATAGACGACAACCTGAGTTACAAAGCAATATTAGAATCTTCGTCTCTTGTTCATGTGTCTACGAATCTGCAGTTACTCGCAACGTGTATCATCGTCAATACTATAATATTAAAAAATATCGTCCATCGTGACTTGAACAAACAAGGAATATTACCAGGGCCTTCGACAATTGTCCGCGCGTTGAGCATGAAGAAATGTCTCAAACGACACTGAAAAAGGCGTTTGCACGCTTCCCTCGTTGGTTCTGTGTGATTAAGGATCCAAGGAACATCTCACGCCTCGTGTATCTAACGAGTTCTCGAGTATTCGCGTACTTTCGTACAGTCAATAAGACAGTATCGCGGTCTTGCGATTGCTACCTGTTGATCGTGTCGTCTACACTCGACCATTGCGAAATGTACAAATCGCGAGCATCGGTTGTAGTCGGTTGATTTTGTCGACTGTTGTGGGCAGACGTGCTGCGGTAGTGGTACAGTGAGGACCGTTGACAAGTTGCTGGACACGTCCTGATGTTCGTCGGATCGTGAATTTGTGACTGAGACGACGCTTGTGGTTTTTACTTCGGAACAAGTGCAGTGTGAAAGGTAGGCCATGATCCAGTTGCTTTAAGTTGGGAATTGTTTGTGGTGATAGATACGTTATTCATATGATTTTGATCAGAGTTATGTTTCTTTGAAATGAAAGACGGTGGTGGTAATTTATCGATATTCGTGAAAAGTGTATTTGATTCGTGTATTAATTAGAGAAAGTACCACTTTCGTTTTGGATTGCCACTTGTTCGAGAGAATCTACGTGTTTGGAGTGGAAATTTAGCGAAATTTGAGTACACGGAATCGTACATAGATGTTTCATTAATTTTGACGTCAACAATGTTTGTTAATCCGATACGGTATGTTTTCAGTTACATAAATACTTTTAGATCAATTTCAACGTTTACTCGTATTACATTAAAAATTATATCGGAATAATTAAAAATCAATTTTATTCCCATCACGCTTTATCTTGTAATTATCGATAAAATTACTTTCACTTTTATTACGTTTCAAATTAACAAGTAGCTTCAGGCATTTTATATCCAAAGGAATCAAAACACATTCGGGATCCCCATTGACTCATCGAACCGACGACTGTCTTCGAAGAGAAAAGCAGTTGCCTTGGCTGTTTGCTCGTCCATACTTTCGGGGTTATTCAACTTATCCTTGACATTGAAACCGCTAAAGTAGACCATAGAAACGAATTACGCAAACTACAGAATGAAAGAGCTACTACGAAATCTTCGAATCGCTCTCTCAGGAATATAAACGTCTCGTTACATCTGGAACTCGTTCCTCGACTGATGGTGAAAATTCTTCTTATTTCTTCCATCTCAGCATATTATATTGGGCTCTAGTTTTCCTTCAGAACAGATCGAAATTCTATTTTCTTTGGTTGCGACGTTTCGAGATAATTCGAAATCACGTCATTCCTTTTCGTCTTCGTTTCGTAAATCACACACGTTGATATAGAGGTCGATCATTCATCCAATCCAGTGTCCGAACGCGAGGAAAGCAGTAGCTCGTTTCAAGGATTACTGGTATGTGATCAATAATTAAAACCTGTTTGTGAATCACGATCGAATCAGAGCAGAAGGAAAGATTAGGGTAAAAGATCGTCTGGCAAAAGAAACTCTCTCGGTATTTTGAAGTTTCCTTGACACGAATAAATATAAAATCGCGGTATGAAAATAATGTTGTGGATGTTGAGATTTTAATGAGAATGCACAACGGTAAAAATATGTTTTTCTCTCCGTGACATGTGGCGATAACGTAGTTTCTGTATTAACATTTTCTTTAGTTGTAATCTATTTGCAAGCGTAAACGCGAATTATTACGCGGTAATAAATTATCGTCGAGCTCTTATTTAATGATAATGCTGGCATAGCTTTAGACAAGTATAGTCTCAAACATCGGTGCAGTATTTTCAGACTTTATTCAAGGCATTAATACTTGCATTACTAACGTCAGCCGTCATTTAGATACATAATTTTAGTAGCGTGCATGATCATTTGTCACGATACACTGGAACACTAGTAGGAATTGCGTTTCAGTTAAAGCGTTAACACGTAATAGTCCTAAAAATATATTTTTCCATTTCCTTTCAGATCGCCAATGAACGCATACATTTTTTAACTTCAACGAATCTTTATAAGAATCTCTCTATCAAGGATACATCGAATCATGTTGCCATCGTCGAAGTTGCTCCAGGACGATCCGCCAGAGCTTGCCAACGCAACCACCACCTCCAGGACTTCAACAAACGGACCCACCACGCAGACAACGATCACCGTCGAAGACGTTGAGAGAAACGATGACGATCCTCCGCCTTACAGCGCGATTGTTCCACCGAATCACGTCGGTTGGCCGTACAACTTTTCAGGAAATCGGTATTCCGCGTGCAATACAACATCCTGCAGGACGGACGCGACTCCGTTGGCTGGCTTCCAACCAGGTCTGACGTCGCCAGGTTTTGGTTCCCATCCCAGGAGAACCGACGGTCAACACGCGTCAATCTCGGTGCCATCAATGCCTTGCAGGCTGTTCATGTTCGGCTCCCGCAGATCTTTGTTCGCGAGAGAAAGTTCCACGGATAACATCTCCATAATCAAGGATACAGGTGGAAGGACACGAAGTAAGTATTTTTATTAGGAATTGTGTGTTCCAGTCACTTTTTATGGGAGATTTATGTATTCGTTTCTTTTCAAATCTGAGATTAATGTTTTTTTTTTTGTCCTTGTACCTTATCCCAATTCGTTATTACACGGTTTTAGTAGAATAAATTTTTATTTTAATTTCTGCTGCTTATCAACGCATGTTAAATAGCGTGAGAGATTTTGTTTACAAAGTGGTCGTACGCCGCCTAAACGTATGATTCAGAAGTGCGATAATTATTTTTAATTGCATTGAAAATCGCAGCCCTATTTGTCTTGTGATTCGTAATTGTATGTTCAGTGTTTTGTACTTGGAATTGTCACGCTGCGACGGGGAATAAATTCGTTTGAATGCAAAGTGAGGAGGAGGAAGGGAGCGGGGAGAACGCGACTCTTTGCCGTGAAATTTTCCATCGTTTGGAGCACGCATGTCGCGTGTAACGAGATCTTTAATGGTGCTCGGTTTCCAGCATGCATAATTCGACCTGCTGAAGATTCATTACCATCAATTTTTTATTGTAATCACTGAATGTAACACGGCAAAATGCACGCGGTCTGCCTTTGTAGTGACATCACCTCCATTTTCTGATATTTTTTTCTCCTCTTTTTGCTTTTGCAGAAAAGCACGGTCGTTTCACTTCGTCGTTACCTCCCTGTTCCAACGTAAAATTAAATTTGTTTTTTATACTCGTCGGCATACAAATGTCATTTTTACCAGGAGTAAAAATGAAAATAAGGAATAAATGTTACAATTTGACGATTTGAAATTTAAATTTTTTCGTGTTTTTGTATTCTCGCTGAAAGATTCGAGTAATCAAAATGTCATAGAACATGTTTAACGTGCTTTTATCGCAATCTATTCGGATACGAAACACAATGACTATTATTTTTCAGAATACGGCGCCATTTTGGTCGGTGGAGCGGTGATCATTTTCCTCATGGTCTTGTCGTTGCTGGTGCGATTTATTATGGACAAACATCTTTGGCGTGGCTAGCCAAGGATTCTTGGAAGATGACGATAAAACGTATAACGATCTAGCGCGACGTGTTCTCGATTTAGACTGAATCTAGAGTAAGCATTATCACAGTGTAATTCTTCGTCGCATTGCAGGTGTAATTAGGACGCGATTGTCGCGCAAAGAAAAAAATTCCAGTCCTGTAACTCGTACGTCATCTATTGTGCATACTTTCATCGTTCAATTCACCGGCTAATAAGTGCGATATTTACGCGTATTTCTGGAAATAACATACGTTTAAGTCCTTTGTTTAAGGTTCAACGTTTCCTTAGAGCGTTCTTTTTTTAATACATTACACACGATCTATTTTATGATTAAATGTAATATACTGCAGTCCTAAAGCAGTATTAGATGCGCCATAAGACAATCTGTAAATAATTACTCTCGAATATTTGTATAAACTTTTCTGTACTATCTACATTAGAATATTTTGTACTATCTGTTTTATATCGAAGCTTTTGTACAATATTTGTGGAAATAAGATTGACAAGTTTCGAGAAACAGCCTGCAGTTTACATTTTATTATCCAATTTAGCAAAATGCTAAAATTACACTTTGTCATTCATGTATTGGTAACGGAGAGCAGTAAATCATCAACGTATCGCTACACGACAAAGCGAAGGTTACTTAAACAATTTTGTTGATCGAACGTATTCCACGCGAGGACGAGTCGATAGTCGAATTAGAAGAACAAACGTTTGCCTGTTGACTCTCGGCCTTATATAGCTAGAATCTTAAACTACGCGTAGTCAATTGAATAGCCATAATCGTCATCATAGGTAATCAAACCATGGTACATACTTACCTCATTTTTAGATGTAAGTATGCTTAAACGGTACACAGAACGTAGATATTTAAACTTCTTTTGAACGCGAGAACGAAATTTTTGTTGTGTTAAACGCTCCGTCATTTTTGTCTAAAAAGTTAAACATTTAACTTAAGCAAACTATTAAAGGAAATTGGATGTTTAACATCAATAACAGATTATTTACATTCGAAGGCTATTTGAGGTATCAGTTTGTGTCATTATCGCTGTCAAAATAATTTCAAGGCCATGTAGGTATTATTAGAGACATGTCATGTAAACAAGGTTCAAATTATCAAAGTTTAAAATTGTCAGAACTTTTAGAACGAGTATTAATACGGTCATCCAAGTGATCGTAGTCCGATTTTAAAAATCATGTTGCCAATCGTAACGACAAACGTAAATAGTTACTGGTCTTTTTCGGTAATAGCAGGTGTACCGTGTGACGATTCGACGGATTTCCGGCAGCGCTCTCGTTTGCCCAGCGGCTCGCAATCGAACGCGGCATTATAACTTTAATCATGATTAACAGTTTTATATAGCGATTGTCAAGCCTAACTCTGATAAAGTCAGTTTGACGGCGACGTGTTCAAACAGCCGGTGCGTCCCTCAGGCCAGCGTCCAAGCGATGCGCCACCGGGGAAATTAGCCGGCAAAATAATTCATGGGCGAAGCTTTTATTTGACGTCCACGCGGAATCCCTGATATTACGAGGGAGAGGCCTGCCCGGGTCGCGTAAACAAATGCGCTGCAAAATTGTTGATTCGCGGTAAGTACCCTCCAGAGCCTTTATCGTTTCGCGAACACCGACAAAGTTAACGCGGGAAATATTGTCGCCGCCGCTACATCGTTTCAGTAAACCGACGACTATAATAGCTGTGGTTTTGTTGAAATTGCTTCGTTCACACATTCCTCCTTGCCCAAGTTTTTCTTTTTTTGTAAAATTATGAATTAAAAGTGTTGGAAGTTTTCCATATAATTGTTTAAAATATCGTGGTATTTCCACAAAACACATCGGACACAGTTCACAAACAGATATTAGAATCCTGCAACTTTACGTGACAAAGAATTCGAAGAAAATTTCGTAGACGCGTTCTTTTCTAGAAAATACCGAGTGTGTCGACCTCCAGAAACAAGCCTGCCTCCACTCTTTTGTTAAATTTCTAACGTTACATTCCCTTCGACCGGAACTGTTTCTGCTTAAAGTTTAAATCGCGTAAAACCGAGGGGAATAAGAGGTCGGCCGCTTGAAAGATAAATAGAAGGACGGAAGGCGTGGACGACCGGTTGGAGGAAAGGAGGCGGCTACGAGGCGAGGGCTGTACGCGAGAGGGTTAGGTGTTTGTCAACGGTTCTCGGTAGTTAATTACCTTACATGAAAGGAGGTTGCAGTCCTTACGGCACTCGACTCGGTTCCTGCGTGCCATCAGCCTCTTACCTTCGCTTCGTTCAACAGCCTTGAGTGCCACACACCCTACGCTTCCTCGTCACCTGTGAGAGTTTACGATGGCCTAATCCGATGAACGAGTTACGTTCATCCCCAGCATGTAAGCTTGCCGCGGATAGAAAAGGGAGAAACCCGGGAAAATTTGGGGTGAAACGTGCCGTTTATGTTACTCGTACAGGCTTGAACGTTTGTGTTTAAGTAAATGAAATTGGAACGAAAAGTTGATTTAAATTCTCAAGCCAAAGGGAGACTTCCTTTTTTACGGTATTTCAAATCTTCCAGTAACATTGATTTTATTTTATGAGTTTTTCTCCAGTATGTGCATTAATTCGAGTATCCTATAGAAATAGGATTGCAAAAGACAGTGCTCATTTTGGACTTTTCTTTCTGGATTTGCTAGAGTTTCTCACCAATGCAGAACAAAAAAAAAAAAGAGAGAAAATCAAGGAACGAGCATCATACGTCGCGAAAATAGCACGAAAAACAGCGGCCCGTTCTTCCGATGATTTATCGTTGAAGTTGCACAAAGCGAAACACGAATTCCCGATTGTGTAACGATGATTCATAGCAATATAAAGCGCGCGCAATAAAATTGTGCAGAAGTTCGCTGGGGGAAAAAGAGACAAATCGGGCCAAAAGACAGTTCGATGAAACTATCGCATCGTTGTATCGGTAAAATCGATCCTGCCCACGACTTTGCCTTTTTTCCATTATGAATTTTCATAAATGCGTTAACCATCGTCGATCATACGATCTAGAAAGTATTATAAAACATTAAACAATTCTTTCTTCATGGTTGGATCCGCCTTTTAATTTTGTCTCTCTTTTCTTTCACGGCCGATTATCTCCCCGCAGATGCGAAATAAAACGGAATTACTGTGAAAGAAGGAAAAAGAAGGGACGAGCGTACGGAAAAATGGAAAAACGTAAAGGAGTCTGGATCTTCGTTTAAGCATTACCGTGATTACGCCCTCTCTCATAAACTATTACACTGCACTTGCTTCCGACATCTGCATCGTTCCGCCCCTCAAGGTTACCGTCTCAGATTCGCGCGCGTCTGCCTTCCCAGGCGTGCTGATAATCGTCCGTATCTTTCGCTGAAATTGGACGACGCCAGAGAAATTCGTGTTACGATTATTGCCCCGATTCCTGCTATGGAAAGCTTGGATCCGTGGAATATCAAATTTATAATATTAAGATTTATAATACTGAAATTACGAAGTTTTTAAATGACATTTTAAATGATGTACATTTTTTCAGAACGGTACATAACATCTGATACTCTAGAGAACAAATTGAACAAGTGGATATAATTCATACGTTTGATAGCCCATAACCATAAAGAAAGTTCCAGGCTTTAAGCACATGTGTTAGCCACATCGCCTGTGAAACGACGTCCGAGCCAGGCCATTGTAGAAAAAAGCCCTGACCAGGACGTCGTGAAAGAATAAACCCCGGGACTTACGAAAAAGACTTGGGCCTTCGACAAGAATGAACTGTTCCCCTACCCCGGAAGAAAACTTCCTCTTTCAGAGACCTCGGCCCCCTATATAAGACGAAACGAGGAAAGCTCGAGATAAAGAGAGAGAGAAAGAGAGAGAGAGAGAGTTGCAAGTGATCAGTCAAATCGAGTCGACAATGAATACGAGAGGAACAGTCCGAGTACGGTCCAGGTAACACGCGTTAGTAAGTCTGTCAGGTCTTCCTCGTATCATTAATATTAATATCATAATAAATTAATCCGCGGAGTATTTCTTTGGCATGCTTCACGTCCTACCAGCTCATACGTATTACTGTATATCTAAAAACATAAAGATTTCTCTATAGAAATTTTACTACGTCCACGGTATCTGGCCAATTGTACATTTTATCCCACCTGTCATTTTTCCATCGAGTTTTTCGTATGACGTAGAATGGAATGAATATCTGAAAGTGCGATTTGACGTCATTCGAATTTTTTCCAGGAAAGCGTTCTTAACACCTCGTCCTATTGATGGCCAAAGCTCATCGTCGAGTGCAAACACGCGAGCCTATCTGCTACAAACATTTGCACTCGCAATTAGCACACTACGTCGATGCTAAAAATCCTCGAAGCCTCGTTCGCGAAAACAATCGCCCATCACGAATCGAATCGGCGAGGCAAAAATATCTCGGCCGTTGTCCCATTGAAAGCAATTACCCTATCGGTATAGAGGGCGAGTAACCCGGGGTTGGGTTTCGCGTCCCTATTCCGGACGCCTTTCCCGTCGCTAAACTGGGATATACGTATATGCAATATACCGGTACATATCCGTGGACAAACAGAGAACACATTCCCGCCTCTCTATCTCCCTTTATCCCTTTCTCCGTGGTCGCATAGCCGAGCGAGAGGGCGGCAGAGATTGCAAGTAGCGGTGGTCGTGGGATACATCATTCATACATAGCCAAATCTCATATCGGTTTCTGATCCTCCGGCTATGACGGCCTTTGAAGCGTCTCTCCTTGCCGCTACCCCGTTGCCCGCACCCACATTCGCTTCGTTCTCATCCCCTGGCCTCTCTCTGTTTATTGTTACGTCGCATTTATGTATGAAGCAGCGCGAGATGCCATTGTCACGGACACATGACGCGCTACAGAGGGATGGACAGTGGGAGGAACGGGGATCGAGTCTCTGTCCTTTCGGAGCGGAACTTGGTAACAGTGAAAATGGAAGCAGAGTTATTGGGCCAAAACGGAAATCGATGCCCTACAGTTCGCTCCTTTGCCTGCTTGAATTTTCCTGCTTCTTGTGCAAGATTCTATACTCCGCGTGAACGTTGTGTTTTATCTGCAGTGTTTAATTGATCCGGTCATTAACCGAGGTCTTCGATCGAGGGAGGATCGCTACGTGTCAAAGGTTTTGAAGCGTGGATGGCGCAATGTTGCGCGAGATTGCAACTTTGTGTCGTCGTCTTCGCGCGTTTAACGATTTCTCTGTTTCTTCGATTCATTCCCACCACCTGTACGCGTAGCGGTCTCTTATTGCTGCAATATGTAATTGTTGCTATTGTAGAAGGATGTTTTAGATAGCAAGGAAATTAAACAAGCATTTTGTAGAAGGACGTTTTTGTTAGGTACCGATGAATTTTGAAATTTCTCAATTCTGTTATATTTAGATTCCACATTTCATAATTTTGTAATTACATTGCGAAGTTTACCCGTTATTAAAAATTTTTAGTTACATTGTGTTTCATTTGTTCCGTTCATAAAAATCATTAGGCCAAAAGGTGC